ATCCTTTTAAAATTTTTTTTTTTTTTTTTTTTTTTTTTTTAACTAGCCAAGGCCTGCGGAAGGCCCATTTTAAAAATTGGCAAACACAAAATACCAAATATGTTGAAAGTTGCCAGGACTGAAAGTTTTAATAGTGACTCCACTGTTCTTTCTAGCTGAACAAAGTTTTGTAGTCCATCAACTGACCTTTGGGTAATACTTCAGAGACTGAATAACTGTATAACTATGGGAATGCATGATAATGTAAATTACAAACTACCCACAATATTTAACAAAAGAGTTAGCAGAACACTACCATGAGGCTACTTCTGAGAGACAGAAAAAACACACTGGAAAAATCGTTTTAATTTATTAGCTCCTAAATGTTAGACAACCAAGACACTGTCTTTTACCTCTGACAGTTCTAACACTAATTTAACAGACAGCCTTGTCATTTTTCCAGGTTTACACAAATTTAAGTCTATGCTGCAGTCACTGCTGTGACTGAGGCTCATGCAGGCATCCGTGTGCCAGCTGTGAACTAACTAGCCCAAGAACCAACAGTAGTAGCCATAGCAACACAGAATGCAGGGCAGGCTGTAAAACACACTCAAGAAGCTGGATAAAAACTCAGGCAGTTAAGCTCATGTGGAGCCCCAGACTGTCCCATTATAACAAGGGAGGCTGTGACAGACTACATTTCTTGTTGTAATATTTATGGTTTAAATGTGTTCGTGCTGCAATAATTTTGCATGCTTCAGGTTTCCCTGACTGGCTCGTACATGGGGAAAGAAAGATTAATGGAATCCCTGTTGGGTCCCAGAGTTGCCAGAGGTGAAAAGAGGGGCCTTCAGCAAACAACTAAATAGCTTTGAATAGGAACTGTTGAAGTTTCAGGTGGGCTTGATACTCATTCCTAGAAGGAAACACACTATGGGCATTAAGGGAAGGAGATCAAGATAAGCATCTCACCTAAAAAGCAGGTGCTGGCCTGTGAGCTAGACAGCCTAAAGCAAGGGGATGGCAGGCTACTTCGGTATACTTTGGGCTGTGAGGACTGGGGAAGGAACAGTTAAGTTATCCTTGATGTATTTAGGGTTCTGTGCACTGGACTGGGGTTGGGGGCACTGCTTAAACCTTTTAAGGGGACAGGGGGTCTTCTTGTTGGGTGACCTATGCCTCAAATACTGAAGAGGATCTGGCTGCTTTGATGCTTAAAACTTGAAGTGTACTCCTTTCCCTATTGAGAAGGTAAAATCCCTCTCCAAGGAGTAAACTAGAAGGTAGTTCTTTGAGAAAGGGCTGCAAGAGAGCTGGGGAGGGTCAGCAAAAAAAATGGCCAGGATCTCCGACTTGGAAGGACTTAGGGCTCTCCCCTACTCTAGAAGCCGTGCCTGGCCTGGATTCAGGGGTACTCAAAAGAAACCAGAGAAAGCCAGAGGTCTGGAGCAAGCACTCCCCTGGAGGAATCTGTGACACAGGAATAAGCCATCCTATCAGATTACATTCCAGCTACATAAACTAGTACAACATAGAACCAGCATGGCACCTCTAGCTGCTAAGATAAAACAGAAGATGGATCAATCTGACTTAAAAAGATAAAGTGAAACAGGAAAGTTTCAGAGAAGGTCAGTGTCTCTACTGTGTCTGACATTGGCAAACTAAATCAGAACAACACGGAAATTCTTCCGCTGCCAACAAACAAAAAAAAAATAGGGGAATCAAGGAAGACACCTACCTTTCTACACCTATTCATCCAGAAGCAAGTTTCTTACCTGCATGAGGTCCTGCCTTTCTTTTTCACCCATACATATAGCTTTCTTTATGCTTCGGAGTTCATTCATTATAGCTTGGGCTTCATCCAGTTTATAGTTTGTATGAGCACTTGACATCTTCCGGTCAATTCTATTACAAAAAGGTAGGCAAATTCTTAAGTTAATTACACAGCTATCCCTAAAAAAATTAAAAGAATACTCAGGCTTTATTCCCTACTCTTGCTAATGTGTCCCTTTATTTGTATGAATAAGATGATAAATTGCTTTGAACTAGCAAAACATTCAATATTCAAAATAGGAAAGGTAGCCACATAATCAAGTTATCATGAGGTAAGCCAGTTTATTGCCCATGCGCAGGCTCTGACCCTGCAGCAAACGTGGGATGCGAGTGTGATGCTAAATCCTTGCATTTACCACGATGTTAAGAGTGGGTATCAGGGCAGTTTCCACAGAAGAACTGACCCGCTGTAAGTTCATATACTAGTTTCCTTCCAGTGACTTGTTTGGATGGCTATACACTAAGAACTATAAAACTGACTAGAAAATGGGCTCTCCAGAACTGACAAGTTTCAGGATTTTAATCTGCTGATACAGAGCTCATCCAGCAAACATGAACTTTAAACAGCATGTGCATAAAAATAGCCTTAACTTTAAAACCAACTTAGATAACAATATCACACATGGTAAAGGCGAATTAGGGGGCAGTGGCAACTAGACAAATGTAGCATTGCTTTTAACAACAAATTTTTAGGACTCTGTTCTTATCTTAGAAGTTTCTAGTGAAGGGACTCTCAGTTTTCCTAGGACAATATTTCTGTAGTCTGAAGTTTTATTGTTAGGAAGCTCTATATATCCAGCTTAAAACCAGCACCATCAGGGCATTCTTTCTGTTAGGTATCAGTGTCCACGGCAAGAGTGCCTTTTCTCCATTAACATACAGATCTCAATGCTAGTCTGAAACCAAGCGACTGTCCCAGGATATTTCAAGATCATCTAACATATTCTGGATCTTTGGGTCTGGAATTGGGAAAGCGAAAGTTGCATCCTATATCAAGATGAGATAATATTTCTCTCCAACTTAAAAAGATAGCTAGCTCAACTTCCTTCAAGTGGAAATCTATTTATAGATGGCTCATCTTGATGCCTCAGAGCTAATGCAGAAAGATTTAGGTGCTCCATGCCTAAAACTACGGTCAGCTTGACAGCATATCTGAAGGCTTGTTACCAGCAAACACTGAGAAAAGCACTTGAAACTACGAATTGTAATGATATTGCAAGTCTCACTATATCTAGTGTTTATTCCTAATAGCCCCAGCTCCAGAAGTCAAAAATAAGAATCTCAGTTTCAGTTTTAAAAAGTTTAACATCCACTTCCTCGATTGTCAGGAAAGTGAAAAGTATGACTTTTTAAACTACAAACAATAAAAAGCACTCAAAAGTGATTATGCTTAACAGTTATTCACTCATTGAATGTTAAGGATTGGAAGCACTGGTTTAAGGTTCTGATACGATTAGACTAAATGACAGAAGGAAAATGACCGTGTTCACTAAGAAAAGATATAGCTCTCACAATTCAGAGTTTGATTTTTCTACGTTTCTGCTACTACGGCAGTCTAATTGATCTATGTCAATAATTTCTACTTGGAGCAGCTATATCTTCCCAAAGAGGGAATGCATCATAAGTTAGAAACTTATATTGCCTTATTTTCTTGTATACAGCCTACAAATTTTTCAAAAAAACCATATGGTGAAATTTGGAGCTTACATTATACATGAGAAAATTGGATTTCCACAGTTGGATGACTTTGCCCCATGGGTCAGATATGGTCAGTGCCCAGGGCTGGTCAATGACCAGGGCAAGTGCACAGGGTCAGCACGTAGGATATAATGCATATAGGATATAAGGCAAGGGACTGCATGGAGACAGAAAAATCTCAAGGCCATTTCATAGATGGCCAGAGTGTTTCTCATTTTCTTGATGTTTGATCTAAGGAAGCATTAATGACACACAACTGCAACCAGAGTCAATGGAGACTCTGTTTTCAACAAATAAAATGTTATATACAGTGCTCTGAAAAATCAAGTCATAGACATTTTAAGTTAAGCATATAAAATTAATGGAAACTTCAGCCTCTAATCTCTGTGCCAGAGTTCTCTACCTGGGGATAAATGGGGATAACACTAGTCAAATGTATGTCGCTGGAAGGCTATGAAGATAAATCAATTAATATTGCTGAATGTCACAGAAGAGGCTATGAAAAAAATTAGTAATTTTGTCTCCATAGCTGGGTTTGAATAATGTGTAATAAACAAGATGCTGAGCTATGTATTAAAACAATGAGGAGAAAGTGAGCTCCATCCCTCATGCTGTGTACTGTATGTAGTCATCATCACTGGCAATCCTTTGCAGTCAAGGATGATTGTCTTCCATGACTGTCTTATTTGTGGGTCTGAAGATGGCTGACAATGCCAATCTAGGATTCACAGGTTCTACTGAAACTCAGACATTTCCACAGGTGATTCTGGATTCTAGGTTGGTCCATGACGCACAATTTCTGCCACTCCAACTCTTCCTTCTTCTGTTGTTGCAAGGCTTCAAAGTACTGAAATTCTTGCAACAGACTCTTCCTCCATTTGGGGCAGCCCTAAATGATAGTCTCCCAATACCTGATGGTAATGTTGCATTTTTTCAAGTTAGCCTTGAGGATGTCCTTGAAGCACTTTCTCTGCCCTCCTCTTGAGCTTCCATTTTGACTAAGCTTGGAAAATAAAACTTGCTTTGGAAGTCTGGAGTCAGATATCTAGATGAGGCATAAAGCCCAGAGAAGTTGATGTCAGATGATCATTGCCTCGACACTTGTAGCACTTACTTGCAAGATTATGCTAATGTTGGTACATCTGTCTTCCCACCGGATTCAAAGGCTCTTTCACAGGTATCGTTGATGGTACTTCTCCACCAACCTGAGGCATCTCTTGTCCATTGTCCACATCAGCTCTGTACAGTAAGGGAGAGATCACAACTACTTGATAAACCATGAGCTTGTTTTTGAATCCGATATTGTGATCTTTAAACACCCATTTCCTCTGGCATTTGAAGGCTGGACTTGCACATCTGAAGCGATGCTGGATTTCTTCGTCAATGTCAGCATTCTGCAAGAGATGGCTTCCAAGGTACAGGAAATACTCAACATTGTCCAGAGTCCCACCATGAATCTGAATTACTGAAGCTAGGGACTGCTCATTAGGAGTTTGTTGGTGGAGGACCTCAGTCTTCTGAATGTTAAGCACCAGTCCCATTTTCTTGTATGCCTTGGTAAAGATGCCAATAGTTGCCTAAAGATCTATTTCTGAGTGAGCACATGCTACAGCATCACTAGTGTACTGGAGCTCAATGATTGAGGTCAGGGTGGTCTTGGTTTTGGCTCAGACTTGGCTGAGATTAAACAGTTTACCCTCCATTTGCTAATTTAGCTCCACTCTTACTGGAAGTTTGTTAGTTATATGTAGCATCACAGTAAAGAATATTGAGAAGAGTGTTGGAGCAATGATGCAGCGGTGCTTAACTCCAGTTCTAACTTCAAAAAGATTTGTGATAGATCAATTACTGAGAACCACTGCTGTCACAGAGCAAGTAACAAATGGTAACACATTTTGGGGGACATTCATACCTCAGAAGGATCCTCCACAGCACTTCTTGGATGACAAAGTTGAAGACTTCCGTGAAGTCAAAGAAGGCCATACAGAGAGGTTTATATTATACCCAGCATTTCTCCTGCAGCTGGCAAGCTGTGAATATTCTGTCAGTTGTGCCTCTGGTGCCCTAACCCACACTGAGGTTCCAGGAGAAGCTCTTCAGCAAATAAAAGGAGACTATGCAGGAGGGTTCTTGCAATGACAAACAGTCCCTCTGTAATTCACAGTCAAACCTGAATCCTTTCTTGAATCCTGTCAGAATCATGGTGTTCCTGAGATTATCTGGGATTTCTTCATCATTCTAGATCCTTAAAATGAGGGCATGGATCTGTGATGCAAGTTCCTCTCCCCCCTGCTTGAAGATTTCAGCAGGAATTCCATCTACTCCAGATGCCATGTCATTCTTCATCTGCTTGATGGCTTTCCTCACCTCATCAAGGATTGGAGAGATTCCAAGATAGTCTCTGACTGGGTGTTACGGGATGGAATTGAGAACACTCATCAACAACAAAGTCTTGACTGAAAATATCTTCAACATGCTCCTTTCAACAAGTCTTGATCAGGTCTTCTCCTTAGGTCTCAAGGGGGTTGACCACAGATGGATTTGGTGGCACTAAAGAAATCATGCATATCATGGACATCAGCAAGTTGTTGAATCTTCTTTGCCTTGTCTTCTCACTGTCTGTTCTTCATATTGCAGGCACTCTTTTGGGTCTTTGCCTTATTCTCTGCCTCTTGATGATTCAATTGCTTTTGCTTGGAACTGGTGGCATTCTGCCAAGCACAAAAGGCATGGAGCTTGCAGCTGATCAACTCTTGGATCTCCCAGTCACGTTCATCAAAGTCTTGGTGTTTCCTGGTAGAGAACCAAAGTCCGAAGTGTCTCTTTGCAGGTGATGACAGTGGACTTTAAGGCACCCAAAGTGCTGCCAACATTCTCCCATTGTTGTTGAATGGAATTCACTGGTTTTTCATTGAGGCACTGGTGGAAAAGCTCTCACTCAATTGGGTCCTTAAGCCTTTCAACACTGAACTTCTGTTGATATTGCTTGTGCTGCAGTCATTGTATGGGAGGCAGTTTGAGAGACATAATCAAGCAGATGAGTGGGTGATCAGTCCAGCAATCATCAGCTACTAGCATTAGCTCGACTGATGCAGACATCTTTGCAGTCCCAGGCACGAATTATGATGTAGTCAATCAAGTGCCAATGCTGAAATCACAGGGACTGCCATGATGTCTTGTACCTGTTTTTCTGGCAGAACAGGGTGTTGGTGATTCTAAGTGCATGTTCCATGCATTTGGTCATTTTTCTAATAGCTTCCACAGATATTTGCTGGCATCAACGACATTCCAAAATCCTGGGTTCCATTCCAAGCTCAGAGGAAAGTCTTTCTAGCACAGACTCTCTTGCCCATTTCTCCCTTAGCTTGACCCATTTTACCTCACTGCTTCTAACCTGTCACTTCTTCACCCCTGGCTCCTCAGCACAGTCTCACACTCCTTGCCTAGCTAATCTTAAGGGTCTATTATTCAGGTTTCTCTCCTTCCAACAAGTCCCAGTCTCCACCAATGGACTTGATGTCTCAGCATCAATCTTGCCCTCCCCACACCTTGTCCCAGTCTTTGATCATCCAGTCACACTTCTACTCCACCCCTTTCCTTATTTCCTTCTCTCACTGTCCCCACAACTCTAGCATCTAGTCTGCCTCTCTCAATGCCTCATCCACTCTTGGCCCCCTACAAGGTTAGTCTCCTTGCCAAGCTAGACTGCATTATTTCCCTGCCCTGCATTTCAAGCTCCTTGTCAGATCTGTCTTGTTCTCACTCTCATCCCACTGATCTGGCCCCTGGTCCCATTTTCCTTGTCCAGTCAGGTCAAGTATGAAGAGCTTTTATCTCTTATCAAATATGAAGAGATTTTATCTCAGTGTCCCCCTTTCTGCCCACAGACAACTGGTCAGGCTTTTGTTCCCTCTGCTCAAATCAAACTGCTTCTTCACTCTATGCTAGCAGAGACTGAATGTTTGTTCCCTCCCCCTGCAAAGTATGCCCAGTGTTGAGCCCAACCCAACTGGGAACAGGGATTAGAGCACCGGTTATCCACCTTTTTGGACTCAGGGCACTCTCACTGCACCAGAGGGACCCCTCCATAACATTGGTTAATTAAGTGGCACGAATTTCAAACCCACCCCCCACCCCCGGCAGTGGGTGGGGGAAGGAGGAGGGAATCATTCAGGAGGAGGAAGCCGAAGCCTGTGATTATCTACTTAGCTTATCAGCTTATCTCCTCCAAGTTCACAGCACCATTCAAAGGACCTGGTGGCACCCCAGGATGCCCCAGTACCCTGGCGGAGAATCAGTGCACTGGAGAGGAAATCCAGCGTTGCCGCTGTAATTTTGGGCTGCAGCATAATCAGTCACTCAATGGTGGGGAGAGGCAGGTTGGTACATGTGTAGCTGTGGAAGCAGTATTAACTTTAATGAGACAGAGACTGTTCTTTTGTTCTGTGGGGGATGACATCTGCACAGTCCAGTTAGCACTGGGAGCTGTAAGAGGCTCAGGCATGCTCAATGAGACACACTCTTTCTAGAATCTAGTTGTTAAGCTCTAGCAAGTCTCTACTAAACAAACGTGGACTACAGTATTCTAAAGCTTTGCCAAATCTGGATGGATTTTCCTAGGGGTGGTAAAATAAACAAAAACAAGTACACAAAAACCTTGCCAAATGTGAAGTGCTGACACCTAAAACTTGAACATTGGGTGGAGGGGGGAAGACACGTCACCAGAACAGATGTGGTGGGCTAAACAAAAAAGTAAACCCTGTTCTCAGAAATGACTGAAAACTTTCCAGTGAAATTTTCAAAAACAAAGAAAAAAGAAGAGTCAGCCCAGAACAAATATCATTGGAAATTTCACAATAAATGGTTTTAATTTAGCAAAGGCATAAGCAATTAAAAACAAAGGCTTATAATGAAAGTACTGGACAACCTTAATAATAAACAGGGTTAGTTAGAAACTCCTCCTATAACAAAATCCATTCCTACTCTCCTAGGCCAAGATCAAGACTATTGAATCCAGATAAAATATTATTACTGACTTTCATTAAAGTTGGTTTTCACTCTTAACCGTTCATGAAGCCATTCTGTACAAAAAGGTTGTTTAAGACCAGAAACTCACTGGGAGAGTCTACACGTTCATTAATGTGCAGTAGTTAAGGAATGTTTAGATTAGTATTTGCTTAATTAAGTACTAAGCAAATGCACAGTAACCACAATTACTGCACAGTAGAGCCTGCACACTTTTTTGTGATGCTTACCATGCTGCAGCTTATTAGCAGTTTTTGACTGACATGTTACTACACAGTAAGCATTTCATATAGACGCACCCACTCAGATGTAAACCCCCAAATGAAATGATTCCTAATGTTGCCTAAGACTCACTTAAAGCTAAATAAAGAACATGACAGAAAAGGCAAAAGCTGGATGAGACTCCTGCCATTTTAGATTTGGTAATCCTGTGAAAATGAAATTTAAAATACTTTTGACATGGCCAAGAGAAGACAGAAAGTAGTCTTGGAAGACAAAGTTTTTAAGAAATGTAACACGAAGGTAGGAATTCATAAGATGACTAAGTTTAAAGAATCTGCCAAAAAATGAAAATTTTCATTTAAAGGGGGGGAAATAAACCTGTTTTATTTTCTGACAATGCACTTGCTCTGTAAGAACTGTTGAAACAAATTATCAGACTTGCATATAAGTAGAAAGAAAATATTCAAAACAAAGTAAAAAAAAACTTCCCTGCAAGGCTTTTTTTTTTTTTATAACACAAACCCTGTGGCTCATAAACCAAGAAGCCACAGTGAAATACACTGCTCAACAAGCAAGTGTACACAAGAAACAATCTTGAAGAAAATGCTAGGCCTGTGTGAAGCAACTAGTATTTACTTCGGATTCAGCCAATTCAGGGGACAATGATTCAATTTGGTGATTCAAATCAGTGTCCCAAATCGATTAATCCCAATCTGATTTAGAGATTCCCACTGCCCCCCACTACCCCATGCTGTGTGGGGGCTCTGCTACAAGCCCCCAAAAGCCCCAACAGCCGCTGCAGCAGCCAGTGAATGCGGAGCTTTTCTTTCTTTTTTTTTTTTTTTCTTTTTTTT